TTCTGAATATTTTACTTTCAACGGTATTGGGAAGGGTTGATGGATGAAACAAGAGCCTACAGTTAAGTGAGATAAATTGGACTCACTTATCAATTTGACTCACTTTACAAATATTGTATTGTAAAGTGAGATACCAGAGCAGTAATTAAGGGTCAAATATACAATAGACAGAAAGCAATTGTTTACAAGGAAATGGGAACTAGAATAGGGAGAGGAAGGAGAAGAGGATAAACAATGATTTAAAAAGTATAAATGGAAACAAAGCTTTTCCAATCACGAGGGGATGGGATGAGGGATTAAGGGAAGAGAGGGCATTGGGAGAAAAAGTTGAATCAAAATGTATTGTGCATGGATACAAATTATGAATGATAATTAGGATTATGATACCTACAATATATCAATAAGCTTAACTTTAAAAAGAGGGTGTAGAAACAGCCAGACTTTGGCAAAATATGAAGAAGCCCATGAATATAGACAGACAGCAGCAGGTGGCAGGAGATAGGAAGTCTTGAAGCAGTGACTACAAATATTCATAGGAAGATAAAACTACCCAAGAGCTTGTGTTCTATAGTTTGCAGAATACAGTACTCACTACTTTGTGGGTGGCCTTGGTAGGTTTTGATTCAGATTCTACAGAACAATACCTTTTCTTCTACTTAGGAGTTCTTTCTTGCACCAATCAGGGGGGCTGGTGGGTGCTGGGCCAATTTCTTAGTTTGTCAAAGTGCTATCTGAGAACTGATGGATGTATTTAGAGATTTCAGGAGCTCTATATTTGAGTGACAGTGTATAATAGGGTCTGTTGGTTGCATGCATTGTCTGGCCAAAATTCAAATGCTATTAGTGAGTTTCAGTAATTGATAGAGTACGTCCTATCTTTTCCTGTTACTCCTGGCAATACTATAAACTCTGTTTTGCAAGTCACTGGGAACTGTGTCAAACTTAAATGACATTCCTTATGCTAAAACTGGAATTTGCTTTTATTATAAACATCCTTCCACATTACAAGGACGATCTAGATCCCTATTTTGCTGTTCTGGGGCTAGGGAGATAGCTTAGTGGTCTAAGCACCTGCCTGGCAAGCACAAGGAAGCAGGTCTGATCCCCTGTACCACATGCTGTGCCATCCCTGGGCCCTGAGCAGGCCACCGAAACTGGGAATGGTAGTGCATGCCAGTAATGCCTGTGATGGGGAGGCTGAGACAGGATGATCACTATGAGTCAGAGCTGGGTAGCAAGACGCTGTACCAAATAAATAAATAAATAAATAAATAAACAAGTAAAATGTTCCAGTGATCTGACTCAAGAATGTAGGAAGTAAGCAGGCCTGGGGAAATAAGGTCATAAACATCTGATCTATTTTAACCATCTTTGGATACACTTTCTCTGCAGAATTGCAGTAAACCACTCCTCTGGCCTTGTCATTTATCTACCAAAGCTCCTTTCTATCTATGACATAAGAAGAAGCTTGCCCCTTCCTAGTTCTGCAGTGCTCTCTCCTCCTCATCTTCCCAGATTTTAGGAACACCTGACTTCTCATCCCTCTCAGTGCTTACCTCTTCCCTACCCCTTCTTTAAAGGGCTTAACAACATATTTGACACCAGAGAGCACCAGAATTCAGTACAATTTCTTGTTTAATGAACACTCGAATCTTGGAGTACTGGCTTGGTGACTTGCAATTTGGGGAATCCTTTAGCACTTGCATTATAAGTAGCCTATAATTTTTGCTGATGTTTTTAGTCAATTTTATACACATGATTACTTTAAGCTATGGAAAAGAAGAGGAGCTCTATGACATGCACTCCCTGTTGTATTTGGCCTCATCATCTGGAATGAAGCAGCATACGGTTTCATTTAGCAGCCATGAAAGGGCATGAAATCACACATGACCTGGAGCTGTAGTTGTTATTGTTGGGGTAATTCACGAAACTGAGGTGGGAAGCATTCATTTTGCTCTGATATATGCTGATTTTTCAAAAGCAAGAACCAATTCAATACAAGGAATTTTGCACAAAAATCCTATTTGGTTTTAAATAAGCAGGTACTCAGTAAAAATCAGACATACTGTTCTGATTTCTTTAGTAGAATTTCTTTTATTTCAACTGTGTAAGCTTGCACATATTGTCCCTTTTTAGGAGGGGTCAGCAAAGTTGGACTGCACACAGATTGAAGAGTGGATGTCCCTTGGTGTCTGCCGGCATAACATGAGGATAAGGATATGCCTTACAGACCTCCTTTTTTCATTATTAATTCTGGAAGGTTTCTAGAAATGTGACCTCAGTGAATCACTTTTCTCTTTGAATATTCCACTTTCAACCTGTAAGATAGTGGAGAATAATGTCTTCTATTAAAGCTGCTGCAGAATACAGCACAGAGGGTCTAGTATGATTCTGCCAGCCAGCAAGTGCTTAAAAAATTCCCTTCATTCTGATCCATTTTCCCCAAAATCTCTGTGTCCCTCAACAATCTTGTGTTTGGAAGGTGACTGCATCATGGGGCCCCATCTTCATCAGTAGATTCATCTCCAGGTGGCTTTAGATCCTAAATGTGTTGTTAGCAGGTGGGGCCTGGCTGGAGGTGGCTTGCTGAGGACATAGCCTGAGGATCTGAGTCCTTGTTTCTGGATTCCCCGAATTTCCTCGCATCCTGGCTGCTATGCTTGAAAAGGTTCTTCTGTCATGTTCTTCAGTGCTGCATTTTCTGACTCACTACCTGCTGACCTGCAACTGAAACCAAAAACCGAACAAACACCTCTTCCACACCTCTTCCTCTAGGTGGCAGGTATTCAGTATTTTATCTCAGCAGTGACTAATATTGATATTTGGTATCAGACAATTGGAGTCATTGCTGTCACTGTACCTGATCATATGGTTTGAAAGTATTTTGACCTGGTTTGTAGGTGAAATCTGGAAAGGATTGAAGGTGCCTAGGAGAAAAGCCCTAGAGTTTGGAAATATAGAAAACAGAGCCATAGGAAAGCAAGCTAATCAGCCAGATAATTAAGAATTTGCTTTAGCAGGTGAGTCAGTCATACCAGGAGCTGGGGCTCTGCAGAGCTGTGGGAACACCAGGGAAACGGCTGTCATTCTTTAAGTTTACCTCAAATGGGACAATGTGAAGTTGTTTTATTTGTGCTTTAAATGAACTGAAGGTTTTGCATTTTCCTTTCCTTTTTTTTGTGGTCAACACAGATCGCCATGGGGGTGGGGTTGGAATGGCAAGTTGTACCAGGATCAAACCAAGGTCCCTGCACTTTTCCTAAGCAGGAGCTTTAGACTGCTGAGCTTCCTCGCTGGTCTAAATGTATTATAGTTTTGATGAAATCTACTAGAAGGATTTGAAGATGAATAAAGCAGAAAATTCTCCATCTTTCCATTTTTCTATGGGTTTACTCCCTCTTTCTACTTCACTCCTTAGTCCCATCCATCAATCCAGGAACTCTGGTCACCGTTTTGTGCTTTTCAGACTCATTTCCACCCACCCGTCCATGCTGTCATCCTTTTAACCACTCTCTCAATCTTTCATTTAACAAACACCTTGTATTGCAGATACATACACAAAAATTGAATACAGAATCAAAATAAGGTTTTATTAACTTAAAATATATGGAAAATATTCAATTCAAATATACTGCCCAGGGGCTGGAGAGATGGCTCAGTGGTCTAAGGCACCTACTTAGAACAAGCTTGGCAAAGCATCAGGGACCGCGGTTCAATCCCCCAGCACCACATGCCA